ATCCAGACTCCAACCACTCCTCCCATCCCCACTGCCACAGCTCTGTCTAAGCAGCCAGGAGCCCTGGCCTGGATTATGGCAACACAGTGGCCGCCCAGCTGGTCAACTGCATCCACTCTGCCCCTTTCCTACAGTCTACTTGAACACCAGAGGCAGAGACCTTTGTGAGATCTAAGATCATGTGACTCCTCTGTTCAAAACCTCCAAAGGCTTCCCATCTTGCTTCTCTGAATCCAAATCCAAGTACTTTGAATTCAGTACTGGAGAGTACAGTCGGTCCTCTCCAGCCAGACTGGCCACTTCCTTCAGGGTCTTTGCAGTGGCTGTTCCCTCTGCCTGGAATAGGCTTCTCCAGGTTTCCTGACAGCTGGCTTCCCGCCTTCTCCAGAGCTTGGCTCAAATGCCACCTTCTCACTGACCCATTCCCTGATCCTGCTACTTCAATTGAAACCACCTGCAAACTTTATCCCCTAATGCTGCACACCATCAAACAGAATACACACTTGATTTGCTTTTCTATTGCACTCTCCCTGCACTGTAATGGAGGGTCCTAAGAGGGCACTGCTATATCCCCAGCTCCTAAACAAGTCCTGGCACATATGAAGTGTTTAAGTCTTTGCTGAACGAATCTCATGTACTCCTCCCAAGACCATTTAAGGACAGTGCTGTGACTTCCAGGGAGGCAGCATAGAGGACAGGATTGTAAGATGCTGCAGAGGTGATGTCACCAGAAACAGTCAACCCACTGGGCGGTGGGGGTGGGGGTGAGGAGATCGGGAGGATATGTTGGAGTTTCCTGCATGCTGGGAGGAGACGAGTGTCCTTGGACTGAGATTCAGGCTTCCCCTCTCCATGCCTGATCATCCCTGTTATCTCTGCCTCCTGATAGTGGAAGGTTCTGGTTCAGCCTCCTCCCATAGTGTCATTATGGGGAGTGGGAAATGTAAAAAAAGGGGAATGGGCAGAGCCCAGTGCATGCAGAGGTGAAGCCTGGGAGCACTGGACTGGGAGTCAGGAAAATGGGTTCCAGGCCTGCCGCTTGTCCTCCTGGCTGTGTTACCCAGGTGAGTCACTGCCCCTCTCTGGGTCTCAGTATCAAGCACACAGGAGTTACTATAATTACCCAAGAGAGGATTCTTTCACTCACAGTTAATTGGAGCTTAAAGGTGCTAAGACTCAAAACTTGTAATTGAGAAACAAAAGGTCCTTACCTCTCTGGGGTCTCCATGTAAATCCAGGGAGAAGAACATCTGTGAAGACAAAGGCAGAGGATGTGGGTTAGAGCCTTCCCAGGAGAACACTGATCTGGGTGACTGGGACAACAGAGGTGTCAGGTTCTCCCTCCTGGTGCCAAGCTGGCTGGGCCGAAATGAAGTGGGCAGGACTCTGGCTCTGCTGGGCCTGAGCACAGGGTGAAGGCATAGCAGGGAGGGGTAGGCACCAGCATAGGAAAGGTGGGCCGGGGACTCTGAGCCAGAGTTGATGGAGCTCTGGAGAGGACGCCCGCTCGTTGAAGCTGACTGGCCCCCCATCCCTCTCCCCTTCCTCTTCCCCTGGGAAGTACTCGCCAATTCTCTTTCGGAGAACTCCTTCTTCCCTCATCACTCCATGAATTCAGATATTGATATGTGACCCAGGGGGCTCCATCTCCCTGAACATGAATATTAGTTCCAGGATGGGCATACACCCATGTCAATCCAATAGAGTTTACCACAAAACTTCTGCAGGAAATGTTTAGTAACAGTTTTTAAGTAGCTAGAACATAAGTGCCGTAGTCTTTAACCTTCCCAGGAGACATATCTGCCTAAGAGTGAAGCCAGCACAGAGATGTGCAAATCTGAAGGATAGAGAATGGTAGATTTTCGATAATATCCTGTGATCATCCGGATCCAGCCATGCCTGAAACCATCAACTCCCGAGATTTTCAGTTTACACGAGAATGCAATCGCAACACATTTCTTTCTCTGTTCAAGGCACTTGGAGGAGTTTCCTCATCTCCTATTAGAAAGTCCTGACTCATACAAGCTCACTGAGACTCATCCTACCCCATGCTTCTCCTTGGTGTGTGTTCACCAAGATTACGGTGACTGTAGTGTTGCACTGCAGCTCCCACACGTCTGACCTGTGCTCAGG